CACTAAGCAGCAACATGGCACTGTACTCTGGAAAGTGGATGCAAGTTTTAATTGTCCACAGGTATCACAACATCATCTGTTACAAAGGAGATAAACAGTTTCACCTCAGAAAGAAGAACCTCATTATTGGAAAATGTAGTCTCAAAGTGAGGTGAGGTCAGTCATTAGGCTGGTTTTCGAAGAGTGAGGCTTACTTAAGTAGTGTTGATTTGATCATGAAGGAAGAAGTCAAAGAAGGGGAGATCAAAATTAGGAATGAGGACATTTCAGCAAGTTGGCTTTATCTCAGGGCACCTCTTTCTTTATTTATTTATTTATTTATTTATTTATTATTTTATTTATGTCCTGCCCATCTGGTATATTCTACCACTCTGGGGGGCTAGATCGAGGCCTACCCACTTACTTTATCTTTTAACTTTCCTTAATGTTGAACTTCTACTTATTACGCCTCATCTCATTTCTGTTGAAGCGGATCTAATAAGTATCTTTAACTTTGCTGAATGTAACTGGGCTCCTGTTTTTGTGTCTGAGAAGTTTTGACAGGAAGCATAGAAGAGCCTATAATAAGTGTAAGGAATAAGAACTGAGGCTTCCTTCCCCTAAGCGAGTGATTTCAGGCTTGCCGAAATGTAGTTGCAAAATGATCTTCCTTAAATTTCCTTCCATAGCCAGGACACTGATAAGAGTTTTAGAAATGCATGTGCTTATACCCTCTCTACTAGAAATTAATCTTCCCTTCTTAATTTTCTTTGTGTGATGCAGTGTTATATCTTTTTCCATCAGCACTAACCATGGCTGATGGCAGGAAGGTTCCCTGGTTTCAAACACTAATTAAGAGACGATATCTGTTAAGCGTTAAGCATGAATAATATTAATACAGGCATATCATTCTGTTACAGTCAAATATATTTTAAAAGGAGAGAAATTTGAATGGAAGAGGAGAGTTGAGTTAGGAAAGGGAGCCTACTAAAAACTAACAATTGCTATAGATAGAATGTGATGCCAACATTCTATCTATAGAAATTGTTATTTTAATTATGGAATCCCTTCTAGCTATTATTCCTTTTTAGTAAATGATCTGAAATTATTACTCTGAAATATGATCATAACTATGATCAAAATATTTTAGATACATTTCCTTTAGGAAAAAATAGTGAATGTTTATAAATGTTGATAGATTATGAACCTTTGGGTAGGGACTTGGGTTTTCTGTTCTTACACAGTGTGGGGCATCTATTGGATGCAACAATGTGTTGATAATGATGACATTACAACAGCCATATGGTGAAAATGTTGTCTAGGATCCAGAGGATCACACAACTAGTTCTGCATGCCTGAGCAGGTGTGTAGCTTGTATGTATGAAACCACACATGATCTTCTTAGTCTGCATGCTGAACAAAATGTTGAAACCGTGGAGTAAGTATTTTCAAAGCACTTTGTGATGCTGAAATAGGCATTATGTACATTTCTTTCAAAGATAAAAGTGAAAATGTTACACCGGGAATATCTTGTGCCTTGGGCTTAACTAAAATAATTGTTCAGCATTCGGGGTTTTTGAATACATGTCTCTTTCATGGGCTCTTTTCCCCTGTAGAAGAGTAAACGATGACTATTTTCACATGTATGATTCATTGCAGTGTACCTGGGAGTGACAAATCTGGGAGCTTACCAAGTCCGCATGACAAGCCTATGTGCTCAGTGGCAGCTTCACAGACACGCAACTGCATATAGGATAGTGATAGAATCGCTTGTTGGTAAGTCAGTGTGTCATAGAATGTCCAAAGCATGTCACCTAACATCAACAGAATTTAAGGTACACTGTAGTTATTAATTAATTTTCATTGTCATCTTAGAATGAGATCCAAACTGAAAAATTAAATTTGAAGAATATATATTAGTATTAATATATCCAGCATCTAGTTTCAGTGCTCCCAGGAGCACATATATTTGAAAAGTTGAGTAAATGCATTCCCCTTATAAATATATATTATGAAATTACTATTAAAGCAAATAGCCAGCTTCTGTTAGTTGACATGGATCAGGATTGCACCTATGCATTTTAAATTGGCTACTGCTTATGGTGCCATTTATAATTTCTCTTGATTTTTTTCCTTGCAGCAAAAATAATAGTCTTGTTGAGCAATCTTATTGTGGTAGAAGCTTTTGTGGAGTCTTAAATGCTTTTCTCATTTGTCAGATTAATGAAGGATTATGTTGGGTTGACACTATTTTACGCATGCATGATATAATACACTTTTTATAGTGTATTACAACATAACAAGAGAGACACTCCTACGTGGAGCTGCTGGTTTCTACTTACTGTGGTCCACTTTATTAGGTTATAGTTATACTAGAAAGTGACAGTAAAGTCCTGTTCTCTATCTAATTTCAGATGGGACAACTGGGGAAGTATTGGTTGGTGGAGGGACTCCAAGGCACTGCTTCTTTGAACTAATTCCTGACACAGAATATAAAATCAGCGTTTACACACAGCTTCAAGAAATAGAAGGCCCCGGTGTTACCATAATGGAATCAACATGTAAGTGTTTTTGAAAAGCCATGCTACTTATGTACAATTTATGTTTTCTGAAGCTGGCAGAGATTGCATCTTCTCATCTAATTTTTTAAAAAATCATTCTCCTGATATAATAATGTCAATAAGTCTACAGGTGGAATCAAGATCTCTGGAATCCTAAACTGGGATCCACTACGAGCTTCCTATCAACCTGGAAAGTTTTGTGCTATGAACCCTAGACCTTCCTAGTACAGAATTGGCAGGCATTGACTAGGATTAGAAGAACTCTCAGGAACATGACTTTTCCCCGTTGCCTGGTGAGCAGGTTGTTAGCATTTCAAGTCACAGCAGAAGATTTCTCCTTATGAAGGTTTGGACCAGAAGTTCCAGCATAGTAAAGGCACACAGGAAGACACCAGGAATACATGCAGAGAATATTTACTTGCTGTACATATTTACATAGTGTTCACAGGAACATAAGTATTCAGCAGTCAAACAGACATAACGTAAACATGCCACTCAAAATAGAACTGTGAAGGGCACATTAACCAGCTTCTTAATTCATACTACCTCCAATCAATCAAATTAGTGGTTCACCTCATGGTAGTTAATTCCATACAGCTGTGTCCTTGTAGGCAGTGACTAAATAACTGCACCTGCACTGATCAATTGTTAATTACATATCTTCTTCTTAAAGACCTAACACAAGTCAAGGCCTTCAGCCCCAGTACATGATCTCAGGGATTCTCAAGGATGGGGACTCTTGTCATGGGACTTGCTGTCAAGCTGGGTTTAGGTTGACTCGACTCAGACTTTTTTTTCCCCAATGACTCAAGAACCCACCCACCCCTCCCTTTTTTCCTGGGAGGGAAAACTTGTTTTTAATAGGAACTTGGACTTGGAACTTAGAACTCAGGATTTGGTACCAAAGTCTCAGACTTGGGACTTGGTACCAAAAACCCAGACTTGGCACTCGGACCTAGTGATGGGCACGAGTGTGCTTCATGCCATGTCATCTCAAGTTGTCGGCACAGCACCATAGGAGTTGCACATCCCCTTCTCTCACCTCTTGGCCAGCTCCCCCATTCACCAGCTGGTGCATGCTGCTTTTCTCCTGCTCTTTGCGTGGCTCTTTCACCTGCTCTTTGCGTGACTCTTTTTCCTACTCTTTGTGTGGCTCTTTGAAGTCACAGCAGGCTTCCCTCCTCTGACTCCTCTGGCAGCTGCCCCCTCAAAGGGTGTGCTGTAGGAATCCCTGCCCCACCTCCTCATCCGAGTGAACGGCTGTCAGAGGAGTTGGAGGAGGGAAGGAGACACTCCTGCTGTGAACACACAGCCATGCGAAGGGCAGGAGAAAAGCAGTACATGCCAGCTGTTGAATGGGGGAGCTGGCCAGGGTGGGTGGAAGAAAGGAACATGTAGCCATGGGGATAACGTGAGATGACATGGCATGAAGTGATTTGTGTCCATCTCTACTTTGTACCCAAAGACTTGCCAGCATCCCTGAGGATTATGCACTGGAAAGACATGCATTGCAGGTTAGGAGTGTGCTGGGTTATATGACCTTGGCACGAAGGACATTAAAATGAAGCACATTTTCACCTTTCTTCTCTCTCTCTCTCTCTCTTCTCTCTCTCTCTCTCTCTCTCTCTCTCTCTCTCTCTCTCTCTCTCTCTCTCTCTCTCTTTTTTTTGGTATCATAGAGGCCTATTTTTTCCACGGCTGCTATCGTTTGGTTTTTCTTCCTCACTCCCATTCTCCTCCATTCTAAGAATGGACTTCAATTCAAGAGTATAACGGCCCATTTGATCTCATCTTCCTTTGTAATCTTAAATTCAAGTCAGTCACCTTGTACTGTATATTGTTAAATCCCACTTCAGTTTTATATAAAGAACATGAAGAAACACACTTGCACATTTCTCCTAAGTGAATTTGATTTCAATGAATGTTGACTGTGTTGTTGGAGTTGGACCAACCTGTCTCACTATGATCTTTCAGCCAACAACTACCAAATTACCTGTCATCTGTATCATGGGTATCATTGCTTAAATTAACCTTTACTATTGCGTGGCGGGGATAGCTGTTTCCTCTGACAGTCAAGGAAACGGAAAAGACTTGCATTAGAAGAATGTTGTTATACAAAGCTGGGTTTGTTTGTTTTTTGTCAGTTGCAAGAGTAGAACGCAAGTCTACTAAAAATATATATAGCTGAAAGCTACAATGAAGGCTAGTAAACAAAAGTGCCGTATTTTAAAAGAAACAAAACCCGCACAGAAATGTGTTGTGCGTTAGAGGAGCAGGGGGGGAATGAAATGTCACTCATCAGCCTTCACGTCTGGGTAGGACTATTTGTTTGACAGCAAACTCAGGATTCCTCATCCGCATCTTTGTCATCGTCTCAGTCAGAGGCAACAAGGGGCCTTTCAAGGGAGAACTTGGTGGGTAAGAAATGAAGTGCTTAATTGCTTCTCCACCCGCCACTTTCATGTCACTGACATTTCTGAATATTGGTTGTTGTGGGGTTTTTTGGGTTCTTTGGCCGTGTTCTGAAGGTTGTTCTTCCTGACGTTTCACCAGTCTCTGTGGCCGGCATCTTCAGAGGACTGGATTAGGAACTCTGTCCATGCTTTGTGTTCCTACAGAGTTCCTACTCCAGTCCTCTGAAGATGCCGTCCACAGAGACTGGCGAAACGTCAGGAAGAACAACCTTAAGAATACGGCCAAAGAGCCCGAAAAACCCACAACAACCACCAGATCCCGGCCATGAAAGCCTTAGAAAATACATTTCTGAATGTGTTGACTACTCAAACTGGAAAAACCGGCCGTGAAAGCCTTCGAAAATACATTTCTGAACGTGTTGACTACTCAAACTGGAAAATGTTTCTGTGGAAATAACTCACTTCTCAGGTTGACATCTTCTCCCTTAAAATCTCCTGGTCACTTTGCCTGGGTGTGGCAAACAGAGGAGAATGTGACATTGGCCTACTTTCCATAAAGGACCATTCTAGTCTGTGGAGAAGGAGATGTCCATTATTGCCTGATCCCATCATCAGCCAAGAAAGGCAGGGGATGGAGGACGGCTTTATCCTGCATGTTGCCCTTTGGGACTTCTCCAAATGCAGCATATATTTTCCTTCCATAGGATGGAACAGAGTGTGCAGGAGGAGCGAGAGAAGGCAGGTGGGATAAGATAATCCCTAGTAAGTGCCCAGATGTTTAAGGCAGTGGTCCTCAAACTTGAACTCCCAGAAATCGTGGCCAGCAGAGGTGGTGGTGAAGGCTTCTGGGAGTTGTAGTCTAAGAACATCTGGAGGCCCAAGGTTGAGGACCACTGGTTTAAGGCACTGAGAAATTGAAAATGAGTCAGCCACTGTAGACTGAAAGTCTCATTCTCTATACATGAGAACTTCATGGAAGTCAAGGATAGATAAGGGGAAACTTCATGGCCTCTTTATTGGGGAAAAAGTGGCCTACAAATAAAACAAGCAAACAAATAAAAATAAGTTAAGCCAACCTCATATTCTTGGTTTGTGGAAAGGAGCCATTCAGTAAGGGAACCAACCCAAACAAGTCTTGTCTTTCTGGAGACAAACAGTGCAGTGGGTGGAGTGGGTCAGGCAGAAATAGCAGAACTAAAACTATTGCCACTGGGTTTCAAATATTTTTGGAGCCATAATGGCTAGATACCTAAAGAAATAACAGTGATTTTGAGTAACCTCAGCTCTGTGTTGAGTCCTACATTCTGTGTTTTTTATGTTATCCAAGAATTTCAGCAGTGCACATGTATTAATGTACTTATATCATTCAATTTCCCACTTGTTGTTTTCTCTGTCCTTAGTACCATTTCCAACTCAGCCACCATCAACTCCTTCAACCACCACCCCACCGCCTACAATTCCTCCTGCCAAAGAAGGTACATATTTTTTGTGATAAAATAATGAATGTAAATATCACAATAATAGCCTCAGTAATTTTTGTTACAAGGAGGGTGGCCACCCAGGAAAGGGAGATTAATGTATTCCTGGTTTTTCCACCCATGGCATCTTTCTTTTCCCCCTTCAAACAATCCTAAGCAGAAAGTGTCCCTTTTCCTGCAAAGCTGTCTCCCACAAGGGGCGGGGAGGGGGAGGCTGTCTCCCATGGGGGCTGATACAATGTATTGATATGACTTTAAAAGGTTAAAAAAAGGTACAAGCACAGTGGCCATGAAGTTGCCACAGCACCCAAAAATCTGACCCCTTCACCAAGGAAATAAATAGACAGCAACATTCACATGTGTAGAACTGAAATGAATTGAATTCATGCATCATCAGTACAAATTAAAACAACCCCACCAGTAAGGCGGGAGTAAACTGAGTGCCAGGGTAAATGAATCAGCCATGTGTCATGTAAATGGAAAAAATTGAAATGATTTAAAAAACAGCAAAAACGGTATAACTGCGGTTCTTTTGGCATGTATGATTGAGTCCTTAGTTAAATGTCATATTTCTTTAGCGGCACAATTATCTTGGCATATATTTGGGAGGGGAAAATTCATTTCCATTTGATTCCTAAGTGCTGTGTCTGTTTCTAGTTTGCAAAGCAGCGAAGGCTGACCTCGTGTTTTTGGTCGATGGATCATGGAGCATTGGAGATGACAATTTCAACAAAATAATTGGCTTTCTGTATAGCACTGTTGGAGCTCTTGATAAGATTGGCCCTGATGGAACTCAGGTAAGTGTGGGAGAGAATTAATGTGAATGGATGTATAAATGTACGTTTAGTTTGACTGTCAAGAGGTCTGGAACAACATAAATTAAAGCGTAAGATTATGACAAATGCTTTTGAAGAGTGTAAGTAAATTGTTCTGGTGGAATATTTCTGTATATATTTATGCATGTATATATGTACATTCCTGCATTTCTATATGAAGACGCACCATCTATTTACATTTGTCTTGTTGACCTCCCTAGATCCATGTTCCAGGTAAGTTAGCTGAAGCTGGCAGTCTTAAATCTCTAATATGGATGCAGTATTAATTTCATGAACTGACTATAATAACAATGGGACATGATGAGTTTTCACATATTTGAGGTGGTATCAAAGAAGGGTCTTGTGTGGTCAACGTTGTAGACTAATCCTGTGCACTGCTGAGAAGTCTGTGTTATAGTGGTTGTTATCCCACATAAATCCAGTAACATGTTTTGTATTTTGCTGCAAGGTCATATGGGCAGATAGACCAGGCTCCACCATAAGGGTGTATTGTACTCCTTCCTAAAGGGACGTTTTCAGTGTGAGTGCCAAACCTGAAAAGCACATATATCTTGTCTTGCATGTTCACTAGAAACAACAACAACAGCAACAACAACAACAACACAACACAACACAACACAAATAATATTGCCCTTGGAACAGGACTAGCCTCACCAGTAGTCACAAGAACAACAACAACAACAACAACACACCACAGATGATATTGCTCTTGGAACAGGACTAGCCCCACCAGTAGTCACAATAGAGCATCTGCTTCAGGCAGCAGAAGCTGGGGAGTACTGGTGGACATCACTTTATGAGCCATATGGCTTTCTTAGTGCCCTTAAACTATTTTCCTGCCCTCAGGAAGATTTTGTGTCATCACTGTGGTCACGATAAGACTCAACTGCTAGTCTAGTAGCTTCTGTACATAGAATTTCTTGTTAAATTTCTTGTTACACTTATATGTTGTTTTTATGTCTTTGGAAGCCGACTAGAGTGGTTGTAAGACCAGATAGGCAGGATATAAAGAAAAGAAAAGAAAATGAATGAATGAATGAATGAATGAATGAATGAATGAATGAATGAATGAATGAATGAATGAATGAATGAATGGGGAGTACCATTTGGTCCATTGCCTCAGGCAGAAAAATATTATGGTATGGCTCTTTTTAAGGAGGATCAGACCCTGCCCTTTCCACAAGTATCAGTGTCATTGTGGAGAAGCAGTGCACAAAATATGTAGAAGGAAAATGTAACCAATGCCAACTGCATATTTTTCTTTAGAATGGTGGGCACAAGTCAAATTCCCATCCAAGTCGCCAGTTACCTGCCAGCAACTCCTTTCTCCCTTGGCTTGGCAGTGGTGAGGCCAACATCCTTGGTGAAGTGATTTATTTTACCACTTCTTGAAGGATCATTGAGAAGGGTGTGCTGAAGACACCTGAAGAGTATGTGAGTGAAGTGGGACTGAGACCCACTCTCCTATGCTCTGTTTGCCATACTGATTCTTATTTAATATGCCTGTCCTTTGTAGGTGGCAATTGCACAGTTCAGCGATGATCCTAGGACAGAATTCAAACTGAATGCCTACAAAACAAAAGAGACTCTTCTGGAGGCCATCCAGCAAATAGCATACAAAGGAGGAAACACTAAAACAGGTGGGCTAGAACACCAGGTGGGATTTGTTACTGCTGAGTTCAACGAAGGACCACTCCTTTATTAAAATTTAATTTGTGCCTGATGTAACTGGACAGAATCCTCATGTTTCTGTATGCTAGCTTACGAGCAACCATGTAAAACAGCACTTCACTGCTGCAATGTATGCTGTTTTTCTTATGTTGGTATACATAAATAGGATTCTAGCCACTAATTATTCTGAGAAAGTTTGGGAAGGCTTATTCACTGATATAAAATAAAGATGCATTAAGACGCCAAAGGGTGGGGTTTTTTTGGTCCAGGGACTCAGCGCAGTAACAATCTTGCTGATACTACTCAAGTACTTGGATGTATAATATGAAAGTCTAGTGAAAGGTAGGAACTATTAGGAACTTACAGTATTTATTTATTTTATTTATTTATTTATTCAATTTTTACCCCGCCCCTCTAGACAACGTCTACTCGGGGCGGCTTACATAAGTTAAAACACATTAAAACAGCATACAGTATAACATATATAATACAAGGTGGCAAAAATCAAGAAACAAGAGGGGGAAAAAAAGAAAAAGAAAAAATTACTTAGTTGACTGGGAGGAAGGCCTGTTTGAATAACCAGGTTTTTAGTTGAGTTTTGAAAACACCCAGCAAGGGTGCCAGCCGAATTTCAGTGGGAAGTGTATTCCACAGCTGAGGGGCGACCGCCAAGAAGGCTCGGTTTCTTGTTTTCTCCTTCTGGGCCTCCCTCGGCCTCAGTCCCCTCAGCCGCCCCTGCTGGCTTTGTCGGATGATTCGGGTAGATACAGTAATGGTCACTGGAAGTTCCACATGGCACCTCATGGTATTGAACTATCTGAGGATCTGAAAAAAAATGAATTGTTGCTCTACATAAAGATGACCTAAGCTATAAGAAGATTGCCCAAACCCTGAAACTGAACTACAGTATGGTGGCCAAGACCATACAGTGGTTTAACAGAACAGGTTCTACTCAGAACAGGCCTCGCCGTGGTCGACCAAAGAAGTTGAGTGTCTGTGCTCAGTGTCATATCCAGAGGTTGGCTTTGGGAAATAGATATATGAGTGCTGCCAGCATTGCTGCAGGTTGAAGGGCTGGGCGGTCAGCCTGTCAGTGCTCAGACCATATACAACACACTGCATCAAATTGGTCTCCGGGGCTGTCATCCCAGAAGGAAGCCTCTTCTAAAGATAATGCACAAGAAAGCCCACATATGGTTTGCTGCAGACAAGCAGATTAAGGACATGGATTTCTGAAACCATGTCCTGTGGTCCGCTGAGACCAAGATAAACTTGTTTGGTTCAAATGGCATCAAGTGTGTATGGCGGTAACCAGGTGAGGAGTACAAAGACAAGTGTGTCATGCCTATAGTCAAGCATGGTGGTAGGAGTGTCATGGTCTGGGTCTGCATGAGTGCTGCTGGCACTGGGGAGCTACAGTTCATTGAGGGAACCATGAATGCCAACATGTACTTTGACAAACTGAAGCAGAGTATGATCCCCTCCCTTCAGAGACTGGGCCGCAGGGCAGTATTCCAACATGATAGAGACCCCAAACACACCTCCAAAATGACCACTGCCTTGCTAAAGAAGCTGAGAGTAAAGGTGATGGACTGGCCAAGCATGTCTCCAGACCTAAACCCTATTGAGCATCTGTGGGGCATCCTGAAACAGAAGGCGGAGGTGCACAAGGTCTCTAACATCCACCAGCTCTGTGATGTCATGATGGAGGAGTGGAAGAGGACTCCAGTGGCAACCTGTGAAGCTCTGGTGAACTTTGTGCCCAAGAGGGCTAAGGCAGTGCTGGAAAATAATGGTGACCACACAAAATATAGTGTGGTCAGTTGTCACTTAGGGGTGTACTCACTTTTGTTGCCAGCGGTTTAGATGTTAATGGCTGTGTGTAGCGTTATTTTGAGGGGACAGCACATTTACGCTGTTATACAAGCTGTATACTCACCGCTTTACATTGTAGCCAAGTGTCATTTCTTCAGTGTTGTCACATGAAAAGATATACTAAAATATTTATGAAATGTAAGGGGGTGTACTCACTTCTGTGATATACTATATATCTTGTGGGAGTAGCAGCTTGCGCAGAGTTATATTAGTATAATTCTGAGAAAGTATTGGTGCTCACCAGTTTCTTTCTAGGCTCTGCATAAGATCTTTATTTTTGCCTATAAAATCTCTAAAAAGTCCTGCATACTGAAGGAGCAAAACATCCTTAATGAGCCTCTACATCTTTGCATGTTCTAAGAAGGCCTCACTTTTGGAATAATCCTCATCTTAGAACTACAGAGCTGAAAAAGACCCTTCACGTTCAGCCACTGTCGAGGAAGCAGAGAGGGGAATCGATCTATTCAACCTTTGGCTCCACAGACAAATATATAAATGACTGAGCTATCCAGCAGTTCATGTATGATAATGGTTATAATTTATAGTGTAGCTATCAGTAAAAGACGGTGCATTTTTATCCATGTTTTCATGAGTTCCATCAATCTGTATCCTGTCTTGGGACCATGCTTTATGGAAAAAAATGATATAGTTAAGAATACTAAGAGCAATAATAATAATTAAGAATACTAACAGCAATAATCAATAAGTTTGCAAACTGGGTTTGAATGTAAAACATTTTTCCTTGGGAAAATAATGTGCAGATATAGTTGAGTGCCTCAGATCCTTTAACTGCAATAAAACACTTTCAAGTTCTTTTCTTCTTCCCCTTCAACTTTCTTTTAATTTTAACAGGCAAAGCAATTAAGCATGCTCAGCAGGTCTTATTTACGAATGAATCTGGGATCAGAAAGGGGATTCCCAAAGTTCTGGTAGTGATTACAGATGGGCGATCCCAAGATGATGTGGACAAAGTCTCCAGAGAAATGCAGCTAGATGGTAACGTTCCATTCTCTTATGACATAATCATAGTCCTACTAGTTCCCACTTACATAGTGGTAAGTCTATGTTTTGAAATGTGCTGGTTTAGTGCACCTGATGGGAGGGGATGAGTAAGGAGCATGGAATACTGGTAAGGATGGTTCCAATTGGCTGGAAATAACTAGAGGAACTGAGTGTTGACGAGATTTTTGGAGCTGTCTGGGAGTAGACACAATAGATAGAGCTGGAAGACCTGGGAGTTAGAGGGGTGAGAGAAGAGAGAAAGAGGTGGGGAAGAATTGTGTGGATTGAATCCAAAGCCTAGGAGTAAATAACATCCTTTGGACACTATTTTAATAAAATCTTATTAAATTAATTCAAGCTGAACTGTGTGGAACTCTATACCTGATGATTGGCTTTGTGGATGATGCTATAAGGGCTTGGATGAAGGGGTAGATATATACCCATGAGAGCATCTAAAGGCTAGTGGCAGAAAAGGAGGAATGGAGGAAACAAGTGAAGTTTCTTAAAGTAAACACATTTATTTCTGTGATTTTTAAAGAGACCATTACCTAAAATGTAAAGTGACTGAGACAAAGGGAGTTTTGACTTTAGTTTGCGAGAGGGGGCTAAGACAGGATGCAATAAAAATGTGTTATTTCCTGTGATGGGTTGATGTATTGTAACTGTAATTTTTAAGAAAACGCTTTAGCTCTACACACAAGGCTATTACTACACTGGCCCTTTCGGAGTGGGTTGGTATGGTCTAAATAGGATTGCTCAAGATTGCCAGGGGGAAGTATGATATGACATTTGGTTCAATCTTCACATCCAGATGGCATACTAACCTCAAGCAACTGTGTTTAGTCCAGCTCTTTCCTTTGTCAAAGGGGAAATGAAATTATTATTGTTATTTAAATTGTCTCTGCTAGACCATCACTTATGTCCTGAATCACTTAGATTCATTTTTTTCTTTGCCCTTTGTATAGTGCTGATTGAGAAACTGCCTTGAGCCCCGGTTTCACTCAACACTTCACACAAAAGCAAATAAACAATGTTTTAAATTTAATCTAAATTGATATAGCACATCAACTATGAACTAACAGAGGTAAAATCTGATAACTTCACTTCCCCCGTCCTCCCGTAGAGGGGATTTTGGTCCATTCCCTATGACTGTATGTTCTGGAAACAGACTAAATAATAGTGCATCTATCCAAAAGAGGAGAAGCCCCTGACAGGGGCTCAGAAAGGTACGGGCAGGGCCATTCTATGGATGGATTGGTTAACTCTAGTCAATAAATTATCTGATCACAGAAAAAAAGAGCAAAGCAACTTGCCCCCACAGCACACCAAACAGTGAGAGAAATGCCCGTTTGCTCAAGTCCTCACACTGCAATCCGCTAAACGTTTACTCAGAAGTAAATCCCGCTTTATTCAACGGGGCTTGATCCCTAGCAAACCAGTATAGGGTTGCAGCTGTATAAAAGTTCAGTATGTGTGGTTTTCGTTTTGTTTCTGTGGAAGAAAACACAGAAGACAATATCAGGGTCACAGGACTGCTGATGCAGATTTTTTCCCCCCTTGGGTTTGGGGCAATGATACACTGAATAAGACCTTAGAAAACTAACTTTTATGAATTACAACTCCTAGAAACATATATCCAGCAACTAAGTTTTGGGAACTTTTCCAAGTGCTGTGACTGAACCCCCGAACTGAGTCTGTAGAACTCCCCAGTTCTGAAAAAGACAGCGGACTGAAGTCATCGTTCTGGCTCACATGCTCATTTCGTACAACTGTGCTGCCACAATGATCAAGACCCCCTAACTTGTAGTGTTAACGTGTTGGCAGAGCTAATGTTAGAATTAGGTCATACATGACTGAAATAAGTTAAGGAAATTAATCTACAGTATGGGTGTCTTTGTCCATTTGACATGCTATGTAGGATTTTTTTTTCCTAAAACAAACTTGGCTGGCCAAAGGGGAGAATTCCAAAAAAACTCTTTCTCTGACAGTGCTAAAAAAAAGTAAAGTGGTGAAGTTCATTGAGCTGGGGAGGTGCATGAGTAATCTCTGCATATGCTGAAGAAAGCTGGTTTCATTTTTCCATTCTAAGCTCAGTCCCGCATGGAAGATTGGCTATAGCAGATTTTTTTTTCTTATCTGCAGGTTTTTACTTCTGATTTCCCCAATAAATTTATCACAAGCGTTTTCCTTTCTCCCCCCTCCCTTTTTTCTTTTTTCTTTCTGCTTTCATCCTCTAGGGTACAGTATATTTGCTATCGGAGTAGCTGATGCTGACTATTCCGAACTACTTAATATTGGCAGTAAGCCCAGTGAACGTCATGTCTTCTTTGTGGATGACTTTGATGCCTTCAAGAAGATTGAAGATGAACTGATTACTTTTGTCTGTGAAACGGCATCAGCAAGTTAGCAGTTTCTTTCTTACTTTTTATTTGCTTCTATCTTTTGTCCTGACACAATGAAATAGGAATTTACTTATTTTATTTGCAATGTAACAGCTGAGTTCTAAGTAAATTTACTCATAAGGAAGCCCCATTGAGTTCCATGGTGGGCAACTCAAGGGAAATCTGCACTGGATCACCACCACAGAGTTTGTTTCATGAAGAATTATGTGGTTTAATTTCTCTGTCTTAAAGTTTTACAATAAAGCAGGTCTTTATTGTAAGACTGTCTTACAATAAAGCAGGTTTATTGTATTGTCTTACAATAAAGCAGATTAAGAGGAAGGCAACAAAGGTGATCAGGGAACTGGAAATCAACCTTTTTGAGTCAAAAACATAAAGATCTTGACATGCTTAGCCTTGAGAAAAGAAGACTGAAGGAATCTATGATAGCACTCTTCAAATACTTGAAAGACTGTCATACAGAGGAAGGACAGAACCTGTTCTTAGTCATTACAGACTGCAAGACACGTAATAATAGGTTGAGTCTCCTAGCACTCATTTACTGTTCCATCAAGATCTGGAGAACATAGTGCATGTAACAAACTGTGAATATTATGTTTTCTTTAGGGATTAAAGACATTTGATTTCTTCTTTTCCCTCCTTGCAGCTTGTCCATTGGTTTATAAAGATGGCAACAGCCTGGCAGGTATATTCTTATGTATTCTAATTAAAAACTATGCTCCCCATACACTGGTGCTTCATTAAATTATGTGTCTGTTTTTAATACAGAAAAGTTTATGGCTCAGCTGCTAAAGGTGGAGTACTTCAATGACACTGTTGTCATGTATCTGATACGCTTGCCTCTAGACTACGAAGTCCACTATCCAGCCTGAGGCAGTACCGTCCCAAAAATCTCCCCTTCCTCCCAGCCTAGGGAAGAAGAATACTACTTGCTTATATATATGGAGATAACAGCAATTGTTCTCTTTTCTTCATTGCTTCCCATCAAGCAGTGCGTAGAGCCTGCAGACAACTTGGCTAGGTCTTGAAAGAGCACTGCAGCTTGTCAAAATGTCAGCCAAGTGTTTTCACAGGATGCTCGCTTTAATGGCTGGGGACAGTATGCGACACACAAAGGGAAATTCTCTTTGTTAATCTGATCCATGTTTAGAGATCACATCAAAGATTCCCTTTTGTGTGGTGTGACGGAGCAGAGTGCTGCTCTAGATGTACTGCTGGTCTGTCTCCACATCAAGCAGCTTCACACGCTCAGCCGATTTTTACATGCCAACTGTGTTCCTACCTTAATCTCTCTTTCCTTTCAGGCATCTTTAAAATATATATGATAGTTACGCAAGAACCTTTCATTTGTATTATTTTAATAGACATTCTGATATGAAAGATCCCTGAGAGATGTGTCCAAGCTGTGAAATTTGACTGCATTATATAGATCATTTTTACTGCCTGGCCACATGAAGAGAAAGAAATGACAGCAGACGTTATGCTTTTTTTTAATGGTTTCCAGGATTCAAAATGATGGAGATGTTCGGTTTGGTTGAAAAGGAGTTTGCAACAGTAGAGGGCGTTTCCATGGAGCCGGGCACATTTAATGCCTACCCCTGCTACAGACTGCACAAGGATGCTTTGGTTTCCCAGCCCACCAAGTACGTACGGTTGATACAGTCTTAAAACATATTACAGTCCCAGCTATGAGAGAAAATGAATGGAAACTTGAAACTCATGGGAACTAGAGCGTCTCAATATTTTCCATATTTTGTAGGAAAGGAGTTAAATTTATTTTCACATTAATAAGAGCACCAGAACCAGCACTATTGTCAGGCAGGCAGGGTGGGCTAATTCAAATTTAGATTCTGGACACAATTAACAGAGAACTATTTGTCAAAAAATACATTTGTATATTTGATACCAACGGATTGCTCCTGCCAACATTGCTTAGACTATATCTGAATCTCGGAAAGGCTCTTAACTGCTAAAACTGCAAAAAGCAGTAAAAAGTTGCATGCTATTTTTATATGACCGGGTTTCTTTCAGTAATGAAAAGAGTGGAGTTTTTTCCCCCAGATGCAAGGCAACTAAGCAACACTCTCACTAAATGAATGAGACGGAGAAAAACTAAACACCTGAAAGTCTCTCACAGGGGTGATTTTCCTTCCCCAGAGATGTCTTACCTACTTATAAATGTCTTGGAAGAATTCTAGGCAGAGATTTGATGGAGGAGGCATTTTGTAACAGAATTGGTTTCCGAGGCAAGATTCACGCAGTTGACAGGTTCAGAAGTTACAAACTATGGCATGAAGTTACATGTATGGACTTGCTCCACCTCACTAGTCTTCCCCCAGTGTGTCTGTGCACACTATTTCTGTTTTCGATGGACTGCAGTCCTCCATAATGTCTGTGACTCACACACATGGGTTATGCATGGCCCTGCAGTATATATAATTTTTTTTGTTGAACTTGAATAATAAGGAGTTATAGATATTATGGTTTATATCCTCCCATTGGCAGTTACAGTATCTCCAAGTAGTTTTAGAGTGACTAAACTGGAAATGATAAGGCGACTTTAACCAGGCATCCAACTCATTATTAAAGTTACAAGAGGGAAACAGAAGATCATATCCAAAACTGAGTTCTACTTCGTAGCAGTATAGTTGAGCAAATTCTCTATAGACAACAAGTGTTATTCATAGCCTCCTAGTTTCACAAGATCAATGAATAGCCTTCTATATGTACTGAATGGCAGTGGCACTGTGTACTTCAGTTGTGAGCAAAGTTTGTCCCCAAATTGCTTTGATTTGTTTTGTGATTAACCTTCAGGACATGATATTCTTCAACTTGAATGACTCAACTGTGTACTTCAGTTGTGAGCAAAGTTTGCCCCAAAATTGCCTTAATTTGTTTTGTGATCTTCAGCACATGATATTCTTCTGCTTGAATGACTCTTTCTTAGACCTGAAAGACTACCTTAGCCAGACCTCCTAAAGAAGATCTAGCAAATGGTTGAGATAAGACTATTGACGTAGTCCCCTTCTGATCAAAAATAGCCTAATTATCCTAACATTTTAATTGGTTTTAATTTTACCTATGTCCATAATTTTAAGTTGTGCGATGCAGCTAAAGATGCCCCTTAAACACTAATGTGATTTCCCCTTTAGCTGTGATCCATCATCCTGATGTTTCATACAGTTTTACAAAGTTGTGAAGTATATCAGATTCTTTTTATTTTTTTTATTTTTCCTCATACATGTAAGAAACTAAGAACCAAAAGTGAGAAATTCCCATCCTGGCTGGTGTGGGCATAATATTGATTTCATGCCCCTTGCCACTCCTTTTCCTGCTCACCAGGGTCTTTTTAAAAAATTCTTTGTACCACAAGAAAGGGCCCCTCAACACCAGCCTTGTCTACATATGTAAGAAGAGTAGTAGGTAGAATTCCATAGTCACAGAATGTACTGCCCCACGTCAGACTCAAGTAGTACATCACACGTCGGAGAGTTCACCTGAAAATGAAAAAAAAAATGACCTGCAAATAGACAACCAAGATAACTGGAAAAGGGATGTGCTTGAACCTCTCTTCCTCAGCCCAAATACTACAATACAGTTAGCACATCATTAGAAGCAGCGTTCTTCTTAAGTGACAAAAGACATCTGACAGACTTTTCCATATTGCTTTTGTTTTGTCATTCATCATCCTGGAGTAAATAGGGCCTTCATTTGGAAGTTTTAGTGTGTTTTTAAGGAACTGTATGCTTCAAGGGAAATCATTAAACAGCAGGAAAAATAAATTTTTGTTACGTGATGTTACTCCTCGTAAGCTAGAGTTCTCTTTGTAGGATTCATGAGATGTCCTTTAAAGGCGTTACCTATACCTATAGTCTGAAGTAGTACTGTCCATGCTACAGCCTCAGCATTCCAGCTCCGCATTCTGAATTCTGTATAGACCTATCAAAGAGCAACAGCAGGACTCAATAAGTGTTAAGTCCCAGTGGGGGTATAGGTGTTATTTAACAATGTTTTATTATAATGACATCCGTTTCTGATTTCCCACCCCCCACCTTTTACAGATACTTACACCCAGAGGGGCTTCCTTCTGACTACACCATCACCTTCCTTTTCCGTATCCTGCCTGAAACGCCTCAGGAACCATTTGCTCTCTGGGAAATTTTAAATGAAGCATATGAACCTTTGGTCGGAGTTATTTTGGACAGTATGTATGTTGTACCGTAAGATAACTATCCCCTGATAAAGATAGAGTTAAAAGATCAGAAAAGAAAATAAGATGTTGTGAAAACACAGATGATTAAGAGGAGTGAGGGCGAGGGCATTTACCATGACCTACCGGAAACAGAACCGGATGTGGTACTTCATGTATGTTATACCATTTTCCCAATGATTGACTGATAGGCTTGCTTTATATTCTGCCTTCATCCAATCATCAAGCAGTACAAGCCTTCCCTTCTCCACCCACCAAAGGGGGCCTGGATTTTTTATCCTGTACATTATTTCATAGTCTTTTATCCATGCATTTATTTTGAAGATTCAGAAATAATCTCTGTTCAAAGGTGTCTAAGATGATATGCAGCCTTTACAAAACACCACGGATCTCTCTGAAATATGTTCTTTCTCCCATTCTGCAGACGGTGGCAAAACCTTGACTTTTTTTAACTACGACTACAAAGGTGAATTCCAGACAGTTACTTTTGAAGGACCTGATATAAAGAAAATATTTTATGGAAGTTTCCATAAGGTGAGATAATTTTTTTCCTGATGTTGCTTTGTTACTACAAGACGGGGATTTGATGAGTATTCCCCCCCCACATTTATAACAAAATTTTGAAGTTTCCTGCTAGTTGGTGATTCCCTTTGGAATAAACATAGTACAGTGGTGCCTTGGTACAGTGGTGCTTCGCTTAATGAGCGCACCGTTTAACGACGAATCCGCATAGCAGTGTCGCAATTGTGATCGCAAAAGCGATTGCATTGCAATGTTTAGATAGGGAAAAACTCGCATTGCGATGATCGGTAAGCGTTTCGCTTACCGATCTTCGCACTGCAATGTGTACAGAACAGCTGATCGGCGGTTCCAAAATGGCCACCAGACGCCCAAAATGGCTACCTCAAGTGTTTTCGCGCCCTGCCCTCACTTACCGAGGGCGCGAAAATGGCGGCGCTATGGAGGAACATCGCTGAACGGTGAGTTTAGGGCCCCATAGGAACACATTAAACTAAGTTTAATGCGTTTCTATGGGGTTTTTCGATCCGTTTAGCGATGTTTCTGCATAGTGACGATTAATCCGGAACGGATTAATGTCGCTATGCAGGGCACCACTGGTACTTGAATTTCGCTGTCAGCTGTGGTTGAGAAATATTATCACCTGTGCAGAATATTGATAGTTCTGTGCAGTACTGACCAATGGGGAAACCCTCACAGAATTCCACAAATGTATGTACAGGATTTAGCTGGGAAATAAAGATCACTGTTTTTGGTTTGGGAGTTTCAGCAAAGAGAAAGAAAACGAAGAAGAAAAATTTGAGGGGAGCTGTGAGAAATAAAAGCAAGAAGGTTAATAACCCTAAAAGAAGTAATGCTTTGATTTTATAATTCCATAGAACTATTCTTCATCCTTTATTAAGTGAATATTATCCCAATAGTCAGAACAGAATATAGATATTATGTATATTTTAGCCACTAGTCACAACAGACCAGACAAAACCAGAGTTCCACATCTATCTATCTATCTATCTGCGCATCGGTGCAGACATAGAGTCATGCACTTATGGTTGTACTGATTAATAGATTGATTGATGAATTTTAAACCTGCTCCATGTCAACAGATTTCATGGTGAACAATCAGTGTTCTCAAATAATATAAAGCAATCCAAATATTTAAAAGCAATTTAAATAATTTAAAAACACTTTAACCATTCAGGTACACCCCAAACCAGCAAACTAAATAGAAGCCAGCAAATGGAAACCAAGCTATTCTTTCCTAATATCCTAAATGCTTATTTTAGTGAACTGTAAAGGCCCATTAAGGTAAAGGTAAAGGTTCCCCTTGACATTTAGTCCAGTTGTGACCAACTCTAGGGCACGGTGCTCATCCCCGTTTCTAAGCCATAGAGCCAGTGTTTTGTCCATAGACAGTGTCCATGGTCACGTGGCCGGACGACTAGACACGGAATGCCGTTACCTTTCCACCGTGGTGGTACCTATTTATCTGCTCACATTTTTATGTGCTTTTGAACTGCTAGATTAGCAAGAGCTGGGACAAGCGATGGGAGCTCACTCCATCGCATGGATTCAATCTCACGACGGCTGGTCTTCTGACCTTGCAGCACTGAGGCTTCTGCGGTTTAACCTGCAGTGCCACCACGTCCCACTTGTTCTTGAGGTGCACCTAAAATAGCCCTTTGATTGAAGGTAAAATCTGGGCCATCCTCCCTCATCTGATGGTCTTCCAGTAGTTTGTGCTTCTTGTACAATACTAGAACATGTTCGGCCTCTCAGTCTAAGTTTGAAGCTGCTTTCAGTTAATATATTTATTCAGCTTCCAGCATCCTGAAATTTGAATCTCACTTGATGTTCATGGTTTCAGTTAAGCAAGCTAAAAATAGAAGTTTTAAAAAGTGTTTACCCCCAGTTCAATGCCATAAAATCTGCATTAGTGAGTCAGTTCAAAACCAAGTATAAACTGGTACCATGATTGGATCAGGCTTTTCTCAGAGCTGTGCTGGTTCCAGATTACATCTAGGTAACATCGAAGAAACACACATAGTTCTTGATTTCCTTTTTTGGAGAGTATTTCTTCAGAATTAAATGAACCACAGAGAATCCTTGTTACATACAGACATTCTTGACCAACATGGCTCTCTTCCCTTTCCTTTTTATTTGTTTGCTTGTTTGTTTGTTCACTTAGAATAATTATATTCCATCTTATATCCTGAGGTCCCTTAGCAGACTCAACAAAAGCAACATAAAACCGTTTAAAGAAACAGAAAACAAATCAAGCCGTATAAAATGGTACAACAGCAAAGGCCCTGTTAGATGTGTTTAATGAAACTGCGAAAATGGCGGCGCTATGGAGGAACATCGCTGAACGGTGAGTTTAGGGCCCCATAGGAACACATTAAACTAAGTTTAATGCGTTTCTATGGGGTTTTTCGATCCGTTTAGCGATGTTTCTGCATAGTGACGATTAATCCGGAACGGATTAATGTCGCTATGCAGGGCACCACTGGTACTTGAATTTCGCTGTCAGCTGTGGTTGAGAAATATTATCACCTGTGCAGAATATTGATAGTTCTGTGCAGTACTGACCAATGGGGAAACCCTCACAGAATTCCACAAATGTATGTACAGGATTTAGCTGGGAAATAAAGATCACTGTTTTTGGTTTGGGAGTTTCAGCAAAGAGAAAGAAAACGAAGAAGAAAAATTTGAGGGGAGCTGTGAGAAATAAAAGCAAGAAGGTTAATAACCCTAAAAGAAGTAATGCTTTGATTTTATAATTCCATAGAACTATTCTTCATCCTTTATTAAGTGAATATTATCCCAATAGTCAGAACAGAATATAGATATTATGTATATTTTAGCCACTAGTCACAACAGACCAGACAAAACCAGAGTTCCACATCTATCTATCTATCTATCTGCGCATCGGTGCAGACATAGAGTCATGCACTTATGGTTGTACTGATTAATAGATTGATTGATGAATTTTAAACCTGCTCCATGTCAACAGATTTCATGGTGAACAATCAGTGTTCTCAAATAATATAAAGCAATCCAAATATTTAAAAGCAATTTAAATAATTTAAAAACACTTTAACCATTCAGGTACACCCCAAACCAGCAAACTAAATAGAAGCCAGCAAATGGAAACCAAGCTATTCTTTCCTAATATCCTAAATGCTTATTTTAGTGAACTGTAAAGGCCCATTAAGGTAAAGGTAAAGGTTCCCCTTGACATTTAGTCCAGTTGTGACCAACTCTAGGGCACGGTGCTCATCCCCGTTTCTAAGCCATAGAGCCAGTGTTTTGTCCATAGACAGTGTCCATGGTCACGTGGCCGGACGACTAGACACGGAATGCCGTTACCTTTCCACCGTGGTGGTACCTATTTATCTGCTCACATTTTTATGTGCTTTTGAACTGCTAGATTAGCAAGAGCTGGGACAAGCGATGGGAGCTCACTCCATCGCATGGATTCAATCTCACGACGGCTGGTCTTCTGACCTTGCAGCACTGAGGCTTCTGCGGTTTAACCTGCAGTGCCACCACGTCCCACTTGTTCTTGAGGTGCACCTAAAATAGCCCTTTGATTGAAGGTAAAATCTGGGCCATCCTCCCTCATCTGATGGTCTTCCAGTAGTTTGTGCTTCTTGTACAATACTAGAACATGTTCGGCCTCTCAGTCTAAGTTTGAAGCTGCTTTCAGTTAATATATTTATTCAGCTTCCAGTATCCTGAAATTTGAATCTCACTTGATGTTCATGGTTTCAGTTAAGCAAGCTAAAAATAGAAGTTTTAAAAAGTGTTTACCCCCAGTTCAATGCCATAAAATCTGCATTAGTGAGTCAGTTCAAAACCAAGTATAAACTGGTACCATGATTGGATCAGGCTTTTCTCAGTGCTGTCTTGGTTCCAGATTACATCTAGGTAACATCGAAGAAACACAAACAATTCTTGATTTCCTTTTTTGGAGAATATTTCTTCAGAATTAAATGAAACACAGAGAATCCTTGTTACATGCAGACATTCTTGACCAACATTGCTCTCTTTCCTTTCCTTTTTATTTGTTTGCTTGTTTGTTTGTTCACTTAGAATAATTATATTCCATCTTATATCCTGAGGTCCCTTAGCAGACTCAACAAAAGCAACATAAAACCGTTTAAAGAAACAGAAAACAAATCAAGCCGTATAAAATGGTACAACAGCAAAGGCCCTGTTAGATGTGTTTAATGAAACTGATCAAACTCAGCGTCAGGAGCTGTCAACGATTTAATTTTTAAAAGGGAAGAAAAATGAAAAGAAAATGCACATAACAGTTAATTTGTCTGTGATGTTGATGATTTTAAATAAGTACAGGAAAGTCACTGTGTTGAAGTGCAGTGGTCCTCAACCTTGGGCCTCCAGATGTTCTTGGACTACCACTCCCAGAAGCCTTCACCACCACCTTCACTGGCCAGGATTTCTGGGAGTTGAAGTCCAAGAACATCTGGAGGCCCAAGGTTGA